TTTCTGTTCCAACAAAATGTTATCCTAACTCTTACAAGTAAATAGGTATTTTTTATGAAGGATTTAAATGTTAAGATTCAATAAAGTTTATAAAATAAGTAAGTACGTAGGTAGGGTACCTGAAACTACTGAATAATCCTTTATTATGTAAGTAAAGTACATACTGCATATTAATATCGAGTTACCTATATTTGTTTGCCTGTTTGGGAATTGTTTGAAAAAAATATTTGCGGTAGAAAATAATGATCAGTTCGTTCTTCCTTGAACTTCCATAAAAGGGATGCGATCTACGTAAATGTTTGTTTACGAAGCGGCGCATAAACTTTATGAGTACTTATTCAGTCGTCAATATCGTAGGAATAAGTTCGCAATAGTTTTATGTGAACCTATAAAGATCCAGAATCAATCCAAGAGTTTATGGAAAGTGCTGTATCATTATTGCGGCTATTCGCATTATCCATAGTCTTCTTACAATTTATCAAATAAGTATGATACGCTTTTAGATGGGTTTGCATGGGGATGCTGCGGGTGTACTATGAATATGCTACACACATTGACTGATACATGATCATCTGAAATATTGATCAATATTTCAGATGATCATGTATCACAGCCGCTGTTTTTGTATGATTGTATGATTGCTGTATGATTTATCACAGCCGCTGTTTTTAGAACCTTTCTTTCGTTTGGCTTAGTTTAAGGACGAGCCTTATCTTGTAACAATTCATACCGACTGACTACATTTTCAATAGTAATTTTCATTGTCGCTACAATGTATTTACTGAGACTACAAATTCTCTCACATTGTATTATACTAGAACATTTGCAAGCAACAATAGCGAGTTCTGTCATGTCATTAAGAACACAATGTATAACTCTAATAATTTCCCCAAACACAACCCGAATTCTGATCAGTTGACTCCAAGTAGGAAATATCATTGTCAAAGGACTCACAGTCGCAAAGTTCGACGCGCATCGTCGAGGGCCAACTTCCGAATGGGCAAACTCCGATGGCTGCGGAGTTAGGCAGTTTGTCATTATGTCACAAAGGCTGGCGCCCTCGCCAACACTTGCCACTCACTCAATGGACTGGAAAATTTACTTTTTGTTTCGTGCCGTTACACAGACACTGCCTCTGCGATGTAGATTCGTTGGCAATAGTTCGAGCCTATGTTCTCTTTTGACACCAGCTGGTTAAAATAAAAAGAAAAGTTGCGTTGGCATTTAAAACTATATCTTTCGTATTTGCAGTAGATGTCCATCACAGGTATAAGTAATCTATGCTTTTATAGTTTACGTAAATATATATAACAAATTCATCTTATGTAGGTACTGAAACTTTCAGCACACTCAAAATCAAACGATCATCATTATTTTGATCTACCTACATTTCATAGAACTGTGTAAATATATTGTAAATAATTTAAAAGAATACAATAGTACTTAAGAAATAATATATAAAAAAAAGTGCATAAATGTATAAAAAAAAAAAAAAAAATAAAAAAAAAATCAATAAAAAATAAAAAAAACAATTAAAAAAAAAACCTCTAAAAAAAATCTTACTTATTTTGTTAATTTTAAACCTTGTACATAAATGTGTGTAAAGTATGGAGCCTACAAGTTTGCTCGTATACATTGGCGAGAAGCTACCAGCACTCTCTAAATATGTACATTCATTTGTCTGCATATTTAAAATACCATTACCTTGCAAAAACCAAACTCCGGTAATTTCGGCTGGAGATAAAAACATATAGTCAGTCCACTGACATCTAGGTACAGTAGGCGCGCGAGTTCATGTCCATCCTGAGGAATGCGGTAGTGCTGTTACCTAACTAATTAGGTCTAATGTCGATATCGATAATTATTACCAATTAAGTAGGTCAACCTTATCTACTTATTCCATATTTTTTGCAACTTATAAGCAAGTATAAGTATAGGTAAATTAGTAAGTAAGTAAGGCCCCGATGGACATGAACTCGCGTGCCTACTGTAGGTATGTTCTTGAGGCCATAGGTCCTTCAATAAACTATTAGAATTTAAAATTTTAATTGAAAATGTTATTTAAAATGAAAATTCAAATATCACTTACATATTTCCACTATCGACGTCACTGCAAAAATATTTGAGCAAACGAGCAAATATATTTTCAATCAAATTTTCATCAATTCGGTTATTTTAGCTCAGAAACATTAATGAAAAACAAACGAAGCTCGTTTGTTTTAGTGCCATCCAAAGTTCGGCAATGCATTTAAATCGAAAGATAAACTTGCGTGGTCTGTTGCAGATCTGATACAAGTAGTCCTCGAGAATTAAACCACAGCTGTTTTTGCCGTTAATCTGTTAAGAGAGACACTCGTAAATACTGTATATTATTTCAATCTGGAGTATAATTTGCATATTTAACGAACGTACGATAAAATGTAATGTAAATAATTTGCTCCCTTTTGTATTAAATAAATGTTACAACAAAGGGAATGCTATTTTTAACACAGAATATATTTTACAGCTACTCCTACTTTGTTCATCATGCTTGTTGATTGGTATGATTAATTAAAAAGCAAAAAGTATATCTAATTTACACATATTATAGGCAGATAAATGAAGTAAGTACCTACTATATGGTGATATCTAAGATTTGAATGATGTAATATTGAAGTTGGGTTTGTAAGATTCTAACCATTCCAAGTAAAAAAAAATCTTCATATTATTATCCATCCAAAAATTCTGTAAGTTCACTGCTACGGAAAGTAACGTGATTAAATTCTACCTATGTTTCTATTAGTTTACTTACAATCGATATTAGAAACTTATTGGGGATTAGTTGCTCCTATTGTAGTTTCGAAGTTGCGGGCACGTCCCGATCGTCTGCGGTCTAAGCGCCTAATTTGTTTTGTTTTGCAGAAAATAGATAGCCGCTTCTTTAATATAATAGTTTGTTTATCTTAGCAGGTATGAGCTTATATGGCACGTATTAAAACAAGTGCATTCTGCAATCCGTAGTTTCCGAGTGGATAAATTAAAAAACGTCTCTAATATTCAATAGTAGGTACTATGTAGTACTAAATCTTCAATAAAGTAGAGTTCCTTCAGAACGAAAAAATATATATAGGGTTTTAAATACCAACTAAGTATAAAACTAAATTCAGTTTGTTTATTTTTATTTTTTAGAATGTTATTGTCTAAAGATGTAATTATTGAAGTTATGTAATAGGCACTCGTATATGGTTGAAGTTTCTTACTGGAGAAGCCTTGACCTTTATGAGCATTTAGCCAAGATTAATGAAGCCGTATTGACGGATACAATTTGGTTGCGGTTTTAATTTGCCCATACTTACTTACGTTGTATCTGTTCGATGTCACAGCTAATACCAAATACTTACGAAAAGCTTTTACCAAAAACTTTCTGCCGGCCCGTCCCCGTCACTCGCTGAAGTTTGAAGTTGTCTGGCCGTGATATATTTTGGTGGGAAAGGGACACTGATGCCACGCATTCGTGCAATCGTAAATTAACATAGTTTTGGAAACAGCTTTTGCTAACAATAAATAACTGCTGTTAAACTTTTGTTGGATGGCGTTTATTTAGTTTCCAGTTTTGGCCATCCTTTGTTTAATGCCCAGGGAATTCTCAAAAGTTTAACTATTAATTTATCACAGCTACACCACTGTACAATTTCGGAGGCAATAAAATGTTTTTTCGAATTCGAATAAAGGAAAATGGTACAGTAATAACGCCAGTGACCGTAGACAAATTTTAATATTTATTTAAGTAATCTTTCTCGATATAAAATCGAAATCGTTTAGTTACAACTGAAGAAATTTATGAAATGAATAAGTATTGAATGTAATTTTTACAGCTTTGCTTAGTAGGCACTTAAAGCTTAGGTAGCATAAAATGTCTTAATTGGTTCTTAGTGTACGCAGCGTGTGAAATCCTTCAGCCAGAAGTAAGTGACAGTTAAATTAAGATTAGTTTTTAAGTACAAATATAACTGCGCGTCTAGTAAGATTGGCAGGTCAAATCATTATTTCCTGGATGCCGCAAATATAAGTTTGCCAGTTCAACCTAGTTTATGATTAGGAGATCTCGGCACGCGTTCACTCTTGACCGCAATTGCGCTTAACGTATAAATTACAAACTAGTGTTTGCAACTAGAGAACGCAAATTAAGCAGATTTCTGCTGAAAGAAATTAATAACAAGCTACAGAAAAATATTCGAATTCATGGGGTGTGGCGACCTCAAGGTTAGTACAGTAAAGAAATGCGGATTCGCCATTCTTAGAACATTTTAGTCTAGCTAGACAATAGGATATCTACAATTAATTGTCCCTGGACACGTAGCATGTGTTGCTAATGAAGTTAGTTCAAATAATTACTGAAATAAGGAATTGTTCAGGATTACTTAAGGGATGTTTTTTACAGGAAAGTTTCTTTAGAAGCTGGAACATTTTGCTAATTAAATATGAACACAATTCTATAAAACTTACATAACATATTCTTCCCTACAGATATCATTCATCTTTATCATTATATCAAGAAAAAATATCGTCCTTTCCCGCAAATAATGATCGGTTTTAATGGGACGTTAAAGATATGATGGGCATTTCATCGTCAAATGATACTTATTTCTTTAACGGGCATTAAAATGCAGTCTTCGTAAAATCTTTATCTGAATTTGAGAATAAACACTTGCAAACAGTAAAAAACCTTATGTAGCAAAACTTTAAGTATCCATAAAATATTATGTTACTGTAAAGTGACTTCTATACTGAAATTTAAACACTAGCCCGCCATATTATTTTCTTTAAATAAATACCTACATTGATTTCCTAACGTTCGACTTGCAAGCGAAACTTTTTAATGGATTTAGTTTCGGTCTCGCTTCGAGTTGAGAAAACTTTGAATAGGACGAAATCTCTCTTGCCCAAATTACCTTTTTTTCTAATTGTTATGCGCAGGCGGAGGAGGAAGTGAAACCACAATAAATAAAGAGAATTCATAATTTAATCACTAGACAGGTAATCGTATTCACATTCATCACGTACAAAAAATAAAGGGGTGTAAATATATCTCTGAAAAATGTAACAAGGTAACATAATGTCGAGCTAGACGAGGTCAGTCGGGTAGGGGCTCGGGGCTCGGGCTAGGGGGCCGCGGGGCTGGCGCGGGGCGGGGAGCTACGGGGGCGCGCGGCGCCGGCGCGCGCGGCGCCCGCACAGCAGCCGCTGGAACGCGTGCCGGAACTCAGGGCTGAACACGGTGTAGATGACGGGGTTCAGCGCCGAGTTGAAGTAGCCCAGCCACAGCGACAGCGACGTCAGCACCGGGCTCACCTCGCAGTCGCACGTCGGAACTAGAATAGCCAACACGAAAAAAGGAAGCCAGCACGCTACGAACGCGCCGGTTATTATTGCCAATGTTTTCGCCGCCTTTCTTTCCCTCTTGGAATCGGCGGCTTCTTTCGGCTTGCGCCGCACCAACGTCGGGTAGTAGGCGGCGGCGACGGCGCCGTAGCCCGTCGTGGGCGGGTCCGCCTCGAGGCCGTTGGCGCAGGATTGCTTCTCTGGGCTAGTGTTGTTCGACGACACATTCGTGAAACCTGTCGTGGTCGTCTCTGATATCGTCGGCAGCGGCCTGCCGATAACGGCGACCACGGCGGCCGCGATACCGCCGCTGCCGCCCGCGGCGACCAGCGCCCCTCCGGACGGCACGGGCGGCGGCCCCACGCCGCCTCGCGCCGTCGCGCCTCGCCGCCGACGTATTCTTTTTCTGGCAGTTTGGTATATTCGCCAATACAGTATTAGTATCACTAGTACTGGCACGTAAAACGACGAAGCCGTCGCAAATATTTGATAACCGACGTCCTGACTCACGACACACCGCAAGTCTTCGGAAACGCGTCGGTTCCAATCTGGATCTTTCCAACCCAGTAAAGGCGCGATACATACGAGGAAACTGACGATCCATACGCATGCTATCATTATACCCACCCGGCCCGCCGTTCGTGAGTGAATGTAGTCGATGTTGGTCACAGCCCGGTACCTGTAAGAGAAACAAATTGATTAAAAAGTGATGACAAAAATTTGATAAAACAAAAATCTGGTCCAATAAAAAACAATAAGTATATCGGAATCTTATTTACTCATTTGCCCTTTTTTGCATAAAAGTTCTCTACTGACCTATCAAGCGCAATAGCGACGAGGTGCAGTATGGAACAGCACAGCACGTCGCCGGAGGTCCACATGTCGCAGAGTTCGGGGCCGAGCGTCCAGCGCTGGGCCACCTCGTACACCGCGCCCAGCGGCATCACTAGTTTGTTCCAGAGGCAAGACACAGAAGTTCTCTACTGACCTAATCAAGCGCAATAGCGACGAGGTGCAGTATGGAAGCGGTGCAGCACAGCACGTCGCCGGAGGTCCACATGTCGCAGAGTTCGGGGCCGAGCGTCCAGCGCTGGGCCACCTCGTACACCGCGCCCAGCGACATCACTAGTTTGTTACAGGCAAGATACAGAAGTTCTCTACTGACCTATCAAGCGCAATAGCGACGAGGTGCAGTATGGAAGCCGTGCAGCACAGCACGTCGCCAGAGGTGCACATGTCGCAGAGTTCGGGGCCGAGCGTCCAGAGTCCAGCGCTGGGCCACCTTGGGCACTGCACCCAGCGGCGTCACTAGTTTGTTCCAGAGGCAAGACACAGAAGTTCTCTACTGACCTATCAAGCGCAATAGCGACGAGGTGCAGTATGGAAGCGGTGCAGCACAGCACGTCGCCGGAGGTCCACATGTCGCAGAGTTCGGGGCCGAGCGTCCAGCGCTGGGCCACCTCGTACACCGCGCCCAGCGGCATCACCAGGCACGCCACCAGCAGGTCCGCCACGGCCAGCGAGAGGATCAGCTGGTTCGCGGCGCTGCGCAGGTGCCGCTCCAGAAGTATTGCTGCTATCACGAATACATTACCTGGAACAAATTAAGTGTTAAAGCGCTTCAAGGATAGAAGTAAAAGAACTTTCATAGGTTCAAATCGGTCACATTATACCTAATATTAATTTAATAGAACAGAAGTTGTAAACATATTGTTATTGTAAACATATTGTTACGGAAATACAACCCGTTTCTCATTAGTAAATGATATTTTACGTTAATTTATTAAATGAAGATTATTTACGAAAGATTTTTTGTTAAACAATAAAATAAGGGAGGGTGCTTCGGGTAGAGTAAACGACAGTTATTATACTTTCTATAGGATCATAAATATCTACGAGATGCAGAAATAGAAAATGCCTCTGTGGCCTAGACGGAGCAGTAGAGTTCCCAAGTGGTGTTGAAAAAATGGCGCTTCAGTCCATAGTCCATACTGAGACTGAGAATTTCTTGAAGGAATCGAGGTATCTTTACTTACTAGAAGCTAGTGCCGCGTTGGTACGTACCAACTACAGTAGCTAAAATTAGCAGGCCGAGTACTACGGCCTTGATGGCGGCGCGGACGAGCGCGGCGGGCGAGTCGAAGGGCGCGGACGCTCCCAAGGTGGCGTTGGACACGGTGACGTTCCACCCACTGGGATCCCACTCGGTGGAGTTCCACGTGAGGTTCTGCAGGGGGAGCCGAAGGTACAGCGCCTCCCACTCCAGCAGGTCATCGCGACCGTCCGCGCCCTCCATGCCCTCTCACCGCGACTCCACTCCAACTACTGAAGAAAGAAGAATCATGTTTACTTTCACAGAGACATAAACTTATATCTATAGTTACAGTCCTAAGTTAAAATAGTATAGGACCTTTGTCAGAGACTGGTATCTGTACTAGGGTACCAAATGCGTGTCCACTGTCCAACCGATTACCAGTTTAATGTTTCGTAATATCTTATTTATTGCATAGGTTTGGAAACTACGAGTATGTAAGTGGCAGTAGCATTTTAGCAGAGTTCGTTCGTGTCAGCCAAATGACGTCCACTACTGGACAAAGGCCTCCACCAATGATTTCCATAACGACCGGTCCTGCACTGTCCATTCAGGTACTTCCCGCGACCTTCACCAGATCGTCTAGCAGAGATAACCAAAGTTCAAAAAAATCATACGTTGCGATTGTGATCAACGATGCGACCATAAGGGTGTGGTGTGTTGCTCTGCATATTAGGGTCTGTTAAGTTTGTCGGAATATATTTCTATGCAAAAATATGTGATATTGACACACGCCACGCTGTAATGACGCGTGATATTATGGAAATGTGTCACCGCAGTCGACAACGCTCGAGCTCGTCTGAGCCCGCTGAAAGAGATGGGATAAATTCCCACAGTAGGTAAGTATAGTATCAGAAACATCTGCATAATTATAGAATACTTTCTAAAACTGGCTCTTGTACTTTTATAAGTTGCTCCTGGCAAGTATAACTTAAATTGGCAATTCTGGTAAACTCTCAGCTCGTCTGACGCTGGCTCATAGCGTAAAAAATACTTGGAAAATGCCCACGGGGTAACATGTCTGTCGTTAGAGCAGTCGTGCGGCAAGTTCGTCGGTTCAAGACTCGGCTAATTGACATTTTCAAGTGAAAAAATTATGTTCAATTTCGTGAAGTCTAGGGACAGACAGGCTAATTGATACTTCAGTGAAAAATTATGTTCAATTTCTGTGAAGTCTGTAGGGGCAGGCTGTCAGATTGTAATTAGGTTGATAGATAGGCTCATGAATATTTATTACTAAACAAGAAAGTAAAAGCAAAAGTTGTCGCGTGTAGCAATTCTCTATCTTCCCGCTATAATTCTCTTAAGACTGATAGATAAGACAGTCTCAAAATTTTGGATAATTTTAACCACGAGGAATTAAATTGTCTTAAAATATATCCAGAGCTTCGTATAAACTGTATTAATTGTGAGGTCTCCTGGAATATTTGTTTAAAGGAGTTCAACTCAAGTGTACTTTCCGTGTTAAACAATAAACAAGCGGGTTTCAAATGACAAAGCACCTAATTAGCAGTTGGTACTTACCGGTCGTGTTGTATTTTCGGTAGAGTAAATTCAGCGCTCGACCCATCATTCTTATTTTAATTTATTGCTTGCGTTACAATCTGAAAAGAAAAAGTATGGTTATTATAATGCAATGACATAAATACTACGCAAGAGCAATATAGGTAGTAACATTATCTTCTAATAAAAATTTTGTATCACTTTCTATTTTAGTTTGTATCACAGTGTTTGTAACAAAACTCATCCGAAATAGCTTGACCGATTCTTATAGTGATATCTGAGAATAGGATGTAAACTATTTCTCATATCACTAAGTGATACGGGGTTTTCACGCGTCTAAAGTCGCGGCAAAACTAGTTTTATAGTATTTTATTATTATTATTGTGTTTGTACGCTTTGGAGCTCACGGGTCAAAAGTGGCCCGGTCCTTTATAAGGCTTGCGTGGGGATACAGATCCAACACGTAGAGGCCGTTCTAAGCGCAAAATAATCGACAAAAGTGAAAGTGGTGCACATGCTGGATCTAGTCTCTGACTATATCATGGGATGTAGCCAGAGACCATCCCCAGCCTGTGCACAGGAGCTATTGCAGTTATTGGAGAATGGACTAGGGTTATGGATGAAGGATGGATGGACTGGTTACTGGGCTATGGATGGAGACTACGGGACACCTGCCTGGTTCATAGTCTCGGACTGAAAAAATGGCAGGCGGTGACTAGCCAGTGACTAAATGGGCCCCTCCTGGCGTCATGGGTCGTATAGACCGGACTGAGGGGCAACATTGGCGTCTGCCAGCTCAGGGGTGTAGAGAGGTGTGCTGCGCTTTCTCCGAAGTTACTCGCGGCGTTATGCCCTTTAACACTTCCACCCCTGGAGCATATAGCTCTAGCGACTCCACTCTGGCCGGCCGGTTAAGGCAAGTCAGAGGTGAAAGTCCTGCAGACCCTCTCGGATTCCACTTCGGCAAGCNGTGCAGCACAGCACGTCGCCGGAGGTCCACATGTCGCAGAGTTCGGGGCCGAGCGTCCAGCGCTGGGCCACCTCGTACACCGCGCCCAGCGACATCACTAGTTTGTTACAGGCAAGATACAGAAGTTCTCTACTGACCTATCAAGCGCAATAGCGACGAGGTGCAGTATGGAAGCCGTGCAGCACAGCACGTCGCCAGAGGTGCACATGTCGCAGAGTTCGGGGCCGAGCGTCCAGAGTCCAGCGCTGGGCCACCTTGGGCACTGCACCCAGCGGCGTCACTAGTTTGTTCCAGAGGCAAGACACAGAAGTTCTCTACTGACCTATCAAGCGCAATAGCGACGAGGTGCAGTATGGAAGCGGTGCAGCACAGCACGTCGCCGGAGGTCCACATGTCGCAGAGTTCGGGGCCGAGCGTCCAGCGCTGGGCCACCTCGTACACCGCGCCCAGCGGCATCACCAGGCACGCCACCAGCAGGTCCGCCACGGCCAGCGAGAGGATCAGCTGGTTCGCGGCGCTGCGCAGGTGCCGCTCCAGAAGTATTGCTGCTATCACGAATACATTACCTGGAACAAATTAAGTGTTAAAGCGCTTCAAGGATAGAAGTAAAAGAACTTTCATAGGTTCAAATCGGTCACATTATACCTAATATTAATTTAATAGAACAGAAGTTGTAAACATATTGTTATTGTAAACATATTGTTACGGAAATACAACCCGTTTCTCATTAGTAAATGATATTTTACGTTAATTTATTAAATGAAGATTATTTACGAAAGATTTTTTGTTAAACAATAAAATAAGGGAGGGTGCTTCGGGTAGAGTAAACGACAGTTATTATACTTTCTATAGGATCATAAATATCTACGAGATGCAGAAATAGAAAATGCCTCTGTGGCCTAGACGGAGCAGTAGAGTTCCCAAGTGGTGTTGAAAAAATGGCGCTTCAGTCCATAGTCCATACTGAGACTGAGAATTTCTTGAAGGAATCGAGGTATCTTTACTTACTAGAAGCTAGTGCCGCGTTGGTACGTACCAACTACAGTAGCTAAAATTAGCAGGCCGAGTACTACGGCCTTGATGGCGGCGCGGACGAGCGCGGCGGGCGAGTCGAAGGGCGCGGACGCTCCCAAGGTGGCGTTGGACACGGTGACGTTCCACCCACTGGGATCCCACTCGGTGGAGTTCCACGTGAGGTTCTGCAGGGGGAGCCGAAGGTACAGCGCCTCCCACTCCAGCAGGTCATCGCGACCGTCCGCGCCCTCCATGCCCTCTCACCGCGACTCCACTCCAACTACTGAAGAAAGAAGAATCATGTTTACTTTCACAGAGACATAAACTTATATCTATAGTTACAGTCCTAAGTTAAAATAGTATAGGACCTTTGTCAGAGACTGGTATCTGTACTAGGGTACCAAATGCGTGTCCACTGTCCAACCGATTACCAGTTTAATGTTTCGTAATATCTTATTTATTGCATAGGTTTGGAAACTACGAGTATGTAAGTGGCAGTAGCATTTTAGCAGAGTTCGTTCGTGTCAGCCAAATGACGTCCACTACTGGACAAAGGCCTCCACCAATGATTTCCATAACGACCGGTCCTGCACTGTCCATTCAGGTACTTCCCGCGACCTTCACCAGATCGTCTAGCAGAGATAACCAAAGTTCAAAAAAATCATACGTTGCGATTGTGATCAACGATGCGACCATAAGGGTGTGGTGTGTTGCTCTGCATATTAGGGTCTGTTAAGTTTGTCGGAATATATTTCTATGCAAAAATATGTGATATTGACACACGCCACGCTGTAATGACGCGTGATATTATGGAAATGTGTCACCGCAGTCGACAACGCTCGAGCTCGTCTGAGCCCGCTGAAAGAGATGGGATAAATTCCCACAGTAGGTAAGTATAGTATCAGAAACATCTGCATAATTATAGAATACTTTCTAAAACTGGCTCTTGTACTTTTATAAGTTGCTCCTGGCAAGTATAACTTAAATTGGCAATTCTGGTAAACTCTCAGCTCGTCTGACGCTGGCTCATAGCGTAAAAAATACTTGGAAAATGCCCACGGGGTAACATGTCTGTCGTTAGAGCAGTCGTGCGGCAAGTTCGTCGGTTCAAGACTCGGCTAATTGACATTTTCAAGTGAAAAAATTATGTTCAATTTCGTGAAGTCTAGGGACAGACAGGCTAATTGATACTTCAGTGAAAAATTATGTTCAATTTCTGTGAAGTCTGTAGGGGCAGGCTGTCAGATTGTAATTAGGTTGATAGATAGGCTCATGAATATTTATTACTAAACAAGAAAGTAAAAGCAAAAGTTGTCGCGTGTAGCAATTCTCTATCTTCCCGCTATAATTCTCTTAAGACTGATAGATAAGACAGTCTCAAAATTTTGGATAATTTTAACCACGAGGAATTAAATTGTCTTAAAATATATCCAGAGCTTCGTATAAACTGTATTAATTGTGAGGTCTCCTGGAATATTTGTTTAAAGGAGTTCAACTCAAGTGTACTTTCCGTGTTAAACAATAAACAAGCGGGTTTCAAATGACAAAGCACCTAATTAGCAGTTGGTACTTACCGGTCGTGTTGTATTTTCGGTAGAGTAAATTCAGCGCTCGACCCATCATTCTTATTTTAATTTATTGCTTGCGTTACAATCTGAAAAGAAAAAGTATGGTTATTATAATGCAATGACATAAATACTACGCAAGAGCAATATAGGTAGTAACATTATCTTCTAATAAAAATTTTGTATCACTTTCTATTTTAGTTTGTATCACAGTGTTTGTAACAAAACTCATCCGAAATAGCTTGACCGATTCTTATAGTGATATCTGAGAATAGGATGTAAACTATTTCTCATATCACTAAGTGATACGGGGTTTTCACGCGTCTAAAGTCGCGGCAAAACTAGTTTTATAATATTTTATTATTATTATTATGTTTGTACGCTTTGGAGCTCACGGGTCAAAAGTGGCCCGGTCCTTTATAAGGCTTGCGTGGGGATACAGATCCAACACGTAGAGGCCGTTCTAAGCGCAAAATAATCGACAAAAGTGAAAGTGGTGCACATGCTGGATCTAGTCTCTGACTATATCATGGGATGTAGCCAGAGACCATCCCCAGCCTGTGCACAGGAGCTATTGCAGTTATTGGAGAATGGACTAGGGTTATGGATGAAGGATGGATGGACTGGTTACTGGGCTATGGATGGAGACTACGGGACACCTGCCTGGTTCATAGTCTCGGACTGAAAAAATGGCAGGCGGTGACTAGCCAGTGACTAAATGGGCCCCTCCTGGCGTCATGGGTCGTATAGACCGGACTGAGGGGCAACATTGGCGTCTGCCAGCTCAGGGGTGTAGAGAGGTGTGCTGCGCTTTCTCCGAAGTTACTCGCGGCGTTATGCCCTTTAACACTTCCACCCCTGGAGCATATAGCTCTAGCGACTCCACTCTGGCCGGCCGGTTAAGGCAAGTCAGAGGTGAAAGTCCTGCAGACCCTCTCGGATTCCACTTCGGCAAGCCGAAGACGAGGGTCTTGACCGACTCTCGGGAGCACTCGGATTAACAACAGACTGGCCCCGTGGTGTCGATTATTATTATTATTATAATCACAAATATAAATAACTTTCTGAAACATTCAACTAACAAACAAACAAAGAGTTATTGATCGAATTTGAAATATAAGGCAATTCAAAATATTTTATCCGGCACCGAATGCCATGCTTTTAAAGGATGATGGGCAAATTGGGCGTTGAACCAACAGAAACAAAAAGTGTACTAAATTAAAGCTTAATACTAGTACTTCATTTCATAGTATGACAACAATCCTGAAATACGCGGGGATACGGAGATAGAGGTCATTGAATATGCAAAGTTTCCATAGTATTTCACATCACACTAGGGTAATAAAAATAGTATTAGGTCAATTTAATTGCTTGTATCAATCATATTGATAGTATTGTATCATATCTTACTATCGATTCTATCGATTAAGTATGTAAGTATACCGAATAAATCACAATCGATTATTCGATTGCAGTAATCGAGTATAATGCTGAAAATAAGGAATCAAACTAACAATCAAATGATAGTGATGATGGTAATCAATGAAATCGATTAAGCGAATTGTTAATCGATAAATCGTTATTTGGCAATATCGATTAATAATCGATTCGTGATCGATTATGCGACAACACTACCTACAGATTAACTGGTAGAAATCCCATTGAAACATGACTGTGTTCATTTCATTTCTCAAAATGGTACCTACGAGTAGGTGTGGTCCTACGCACGTAATGTAGAACATGGTACTTATTTTATTCCATTTGTTGGCCCCACTCGGACATAATAATTGATAAATAACTTAATGTATCAATTTAGGTATATTAATTAATAATATTTTTTGTTTGCGCAATAAAACACCTATGACTATTATACATTATGTCAATTTCCAAGCAAACCCGGGAGTTTTTGGTAGTTATTTATATGAAAATATATTTCTGATACTAAGTCCTAACTTAGAATAATAGTTACATTTCTGTTGGTTTTACGCCCAGATTCCATAGAAAAGTGCCCATCATCCTTTGTTTGGGGCGAGTTAATTTGCTTTTATTTCGACAACTAGAATAACGGCGGTGAAACTCGATGAATAACTTTAACGTTTATCGACGCTTTTTTTCGCATATTCACACCATGAAACCATTATTCGACGTTCTAGTGTTAATAAATACATTAAAACTTTTGGAATGCACAATACAAGCAGTTATAAAGTATAAATATACAGGGTGGAAACGATAAGTGATCTCACGCGATTATTTCTAAACTATACAAGATATTGAAAAACTGGTTACTGATCCTGAAAGTGCTTCACGAGCTCTTTCCAACGGTATAAGTAATAGGTTACAGAATTAACTGGATCTGTCCGAAAATTCAATGTTTTCAGCCTCCATACTAAATGTATGCCGGCCACACAATAATAAGAAGTGTATTTTTTTATATTAAACAATAAACACTTAAATTGAACTCGTAAGTTGCATTCTAATTTTAATTATTCATGGAAAATATTGGTTTTAGGCTTTACTTGCTATAATATTATCAAGACATGAGTGCCATGACTGTGGCAGTACTAAATGTATGGAATCTGGAAACATTGAATTTTCGGATAGATCCAGTTTATTTTGTAACTTATTATTGGTACCGTTGGATAGAGCTCGTGAAGCACTTTCAGGATCAGTAACCAGTTTTTGGATATCTTGTATAGTTTTTACTATTATGTGGTTTTACTAAATGTATGGAAGCTGGAAACATTGAATTTTCGGATAGATCCAGATTATTTTGTAACCTATTATTGATACCGTTGGATAGAGCTCGTAAAGCACTTTCAGGATCAGTAACTAATTTTTGGATATCTTGTATAGTTTAGAAATAATCGAGTGAGATCACTTATCGTTTCCACCCTGTATATATACAGGGTGGAAACGATAAGTGATCTCACGCGATTATTTCTAAACTATACAAGATATTGAAAAACTGGTTACTGATCCTGAAAGTGCTTCACGAGCTCTTTCCAACGGTATAAGTAATAGGTTACAGAATTAACTGGATCTGTCCGAAAATTCAATGTTTTCAGCCTCCATACTAAATGTATGCCGGCCACACAATAATAAGAAGTGTATTTTTTTATATTAAACAATAAACACTTAAATTGAACTCGTAAGTTGCATTCTAATTTTAATTATTCATGGAAAATATTGGTTTTAGGCTTTACTTGCTATAATATTATCAAGACATGAGTGCCATGACTGTGGCAGTACTAAATGTATGGAATCTGGAAACATTGAATTTTCGGATAGATCCAGTTTATTTTGTAACTTATTATTGGTACCGTTGGATAGAGCTCGTGAAGCACTTTCAGGATCAGTAACCAGTTTTTGGATATCTTGTATAGTTTTTACTATTATGTGGTTTTACTAAATGTATGGAAGCTGGAAACATTGAATTTTCGGATAGATCCAGATTATTTTGTAACCTATTATTGATACCGTTGGATAGAGCTCGTAAAGCACTTTCAGGATCAGTAACTAATTTTTGGATATCTTGTATAGTTTAGAAATAATCGAGTGAGATCACTTATCGTTTCCACCCTGTATGTATACAAGGTATTGTGTTTTAAATGTTTGCCGTAGTATCAAAACTCTTTACTCTCCAATAAATTATTGAGGATTGAACATTAAGAATAACAAGGCAAAATTAAAGAGGAGACATTAATAAATAAAAAACTCATCAATAAATTTATCGTCTGTTATCACTTGTTAAATAACGAATCAGTTCAAAACAAATATGACCACGAAACCACAGTAGATAAATCAAAACAGTACGGAAACTTAGCCCTTTCGGCGAGTTAAATACCTACACTTCAACTGAGTGTTAGGGTTGGCACTCTTAATCTTTATAAAATTAATAAGGTTCTGACTTACTTATTTATATAACGTTTATTTAGGTTTTTAATTATCAAATACCTAATGGAATAAATTAATTGACTAAGTAGTTAACAAAAAAATAAAACGTTAATTAGGTTCTATAATGATCGAATACATAATGGAATAAATTGATTAAGTACTATTAGAGGCCGGTAGAAGATATTCTATTCTCATAAATAAAATGCCGGATACATTTCACATAGCTATTGCCTCATTCTAAATACAGTTCATCACTTAGTACAAAAGCGCGTGGAGCAAATTACTTTATCAAATAGAACACATAAATTGTTAAAAAGCGTAATTACGTAATTTAAAAAGAACTTTTACGAAATCAGATGTAAGCAATTTATTTAAAAAGTAATATTTAATCATTTTTACAATTCAGAATTATTACGAAGTTAAAAATGAAAGTTCTGGTTTTGAAGATGCCGAGTTCAAGCAGCCGTATATTACGCAATACACTCGTGGCATGTTTTTTAAAAATACAGCGGATCGTGCATGCAATAAAATTATTACTCAAAACACAACGCGCGCGACACTCGCGACGGATGGACTGCGAGGTTCGCTTAGAGCTCGTGTAAAGCGTGCGTCTGTGTGCGTGAGTCTGATTTCGAGCGTTTGTATGAAGCTTCCGTACTGCTTTAGCTCATATATCTACTGTGACGAAACTCGGCTATTCTCAGATGAGCTAGTTTTTGCGTGTCCGGGCTGTTAAATCGTTAAAAATTACAAATTAGAGACATGCAAGTATTTTTATATGTTACTTAACAACCCCATCCAGTTGTGCATTAAATCATAGGCCTCTATTTTAAGTTTTTGTGACTTAATTAATTTCATGAACCTCTGTTCTCTAATTACCGTTACGCGTCCGCACACCGACTTAATGTTAAAACTTGGCTGTAATTTTTATGTCGTATAGATTTGGTTTACTCCATTCAACATTTTAAAGAGTACAAAAGATTGTCTTACGCATAGCAAAATATCTATTCAATAGAACCATTCTGTAAATAATTAGAATTAAAAAACTGCTTGTCCGAGCGAAAGTCCTAATTCCCGTGACGTTTTCTGTTTTTGGGCACATAAGCCTAAATAATAATATTTGACACATCATTTACGCACGCGGCGCGAGCCCTTAGTTAGTTCTAAGACCTGTTAGCAAGTAGACGTCTATTGCGTTGGCGTACTGTCGATGAATTGCGTAAGAGTATAATTACCATATCTTTGGTTTTCAATTTTTCTATTTACCATGTCCTTATTTTTATACTCGATTTTTGAAGGTAGATCCACGTTGTTAATTTAAATAGATTCAGTACTTTAGCCTTCATACGTTGTAGTAAGACAGTATTTGCATACGCTGAAGATTTTGGAAATTTTGAAGAAAAACTATCGTTTTATAATTTCCATGTACTAATTACTAGAGATGAAACGGATAGTTGTTTGGCCGGATACCGGATACCGGATATCCGGCGAGCTGCTAGGCCGGATAGCCGGATATCCGGCGGCCGGATAGTTGTCCCATTGTCATGTTGCATGTCGTAACGAGTTTAGCGCTGCACAGGTGCTTCGAACGCGATCAGTAGGTTTAGTAGACTAGACAAGTCACACTTTTCGAAAATCGAATTCGTTCGAAATAGAGATTGCAATCCGGATTATTCGAAATTCGAAAATATCTGAAAAATCCGGATTTTGAGGCTATAAAAAAATCCGGATTTTGATTTTGAAATCCGGTTTTTTCGAATATTTTTACCCCAAAAATTTTATCATAAAATCATTAACCAAAATATCTGTTGAATGCAACATGGATGCAAAACAAGAGAAGTTTTGATTGAACGCACCCCGCACTTCGTCGCACAACACAACACTCACACCTGCACACAATGACGCGTCATGCGTAATAAATTCGCTAGTCGGCCAGTGAGTTTTATACGAGGCGGTGGTGGTGCGCGTTTGTGTCACGCCGCGCGCGTCTACCTACTAGGTAGTGACTGAATAAGAATACTCCCGTGTTGGTAAGTACAAAAGTACATAAATAATTACGTTCCTACACAATTTAATACAGTGTTACTTATACAGTGTTTTGTTTAGTTACGATATGTTTAACTATTTAGGCAAATGTAAAACGCTTTTGTTTATAATATTTCAAACTATTATGTTGCATTTTTTACTATAAAATTATCACTTCACGGGATTTACAACAAAACTTTTATAACGGTAAATAAGATATTTACCCTCCCGAAGTTTCAACTCGGTTGTACGAGTCATGGTCGCGGGCAGACTGAAGAGATGCGGCGTCGTCTGCTCCGGCGCGATGAATTTTCTTCACCCACCCGCATTTGCACAATATTTTCGTCAGTGGTACAGTCAGTCCGACAAACTACACTAACAGTGTCCGGGTTTCTTTGAGACGGCCTAGAACGCGATTTGCATTTCACGCTTTTATTTACTTATCTAATCGCTATGTGCCGTTTGTTTCTTCTTTCTGTCCATTCAAATTTAAAGTTAAGTTTTGATTTGTCTATTTTGTAGCTGAATCTATATAAATTAACTACGGAAAAATCGAAATTAATCAACTAACTTCTTATGGTAGTATCGATTTGAAACTTCACAAATGGCATATAATAAATAGTTACTGACATCTCGAAAGCTGTATAAGTGGGCGCCTTGTTAAATTCTGCGGGATGTATTTAATAATAATACCTACTTCAATCTTGCCTAATGATGTAGGTCAGGTTTCCTAATCGTGATTAGGAATTTCTAGGGAAGCTCTTTGGCATTGATTGAATGGTCGATTCTCGAAACTATTTTTTTTTTCATTCACAGAGAAACCTGACGGAACATGGAGTTTATAGATTACATCAAAAAGTCAAGCGACAAGTCCAGTGTATGGCATTATTTTTTGAGATCCGCCAATGGGCTACAAGCTAAATGCAAACGGTGTTATAGCATTTTGAAGATTAGCGGAAGCACGTCAGCATTACATAACCACTTACTTAAAAAACATTCCATTGATGTTAAAAAAATTGAAAGTGGTGACGCAAATGTTCGACCAGAAGAAACAGCCACAGCTTCTACTAGCAAAAGCGATGCTCCACCTACCAAAAAACTAAAAGTGAACGACTATTTTGAAAGGAAAGATTCCTTGCCCAACTTAATATCAAGAATGGTGGTTCTAGATGGGTTACCACTTAAAGTATTTTGTTCGTCGGCTGATTTAAGAAAATTATTGGAAAAAAATTATAAAGAAAAGATCCCGAAATCACCAAATTCGATAAAAAAAATTGTAATGGACATGTGTGACAAAGAAAAATCCACTCTCATAAAAGATTTAAAAGTCTGGAAGACCAAAAACGTCATGTTTGCACTAACATTTGATGAGTGGACATCAATGAAATCCCATCGATATATAAATATTAACATTCATTTCCGCAATGAATATGGCGAAAATTTTTGGGAAAGCCTGGGCTTAATAAGGATTCACGGATCCATGGGCGCCGAAGCTTGCGTTTCCCTTATAAAGATAAGACTGAATTCATTCGGACTTTGCTTGTATAAAGATATTATCGGAATGACGACTGATGGCGCTGCAGTTATGGTCAAGGTTGGACGCATTCTCCCTGTCCCGCACCATCAATTGTGCCTTGCACACGCTGTACAGCTGGCTGTACTGGATGTTTTGTATAAAAACTCACCACAAACAGAAACATGTGAAGATACAGGCAGCTGCTCTGACTCAGATATTGAAGAAGACGGCGAAGACGGATTTGTAATCGAACGCACAAGAGAACGAAGACTGTTAATCGACGATTACAAAGCCATAATTAAAAAAGTTCGATCAGTGGTTAAGATTTTTAAAAATTCACCAACAAAAAACGACGCCATGCTTCAAAAATATGTGCAAGCTGAATTTGGCAAAGAATTACAACTCCTTCTAGACTGCAGAACTCGATGGAACAGTCTAGCCACTATGTTGGAACGTTTCTTAAAACTAAAATCATGCATACAGAAAGCATTGATTGATGTTAAGTCTGATATATCATTCTCAGACACAGAAATTGCATGTCTTCAAAACCTGCATACCTGTTTAGACATGATCAAAAGTACAGTAGAAGTACTCTGCCGCAGAAATTCCACCATTCTCACAGCCGATACAGCTCTAAAATTTTTAGTAAAATCATTAGAGAACCAATACAGTGTTACTGGCGAAAAACTGGCAAATTCTCTAAAAAGGAGAATCAAAGAGAGACGCCTCTACAAGGTTGTTGGCGCCCTACAATACTTACAGAATCCTAACCAATTTATGAATGGAACTGAGGAAGATGACGATACATACCAAAAACCAACTTATGATGAAATGAAAAATTTGATCTGTCAAACTGCAGCTTTAAATGGTGATAATTGCACATCTACTTCAGCGAACAAGAACTCCAGTTCAGAAACACCTTGTGAATCTGATTCCGAAACACCATCGCTGAGTTTTAAAGAGCTGCTAGATCGGCATATTATATCCCTTGCAAGTGATAGTAGAGATCCTCAACCTCACCCATCGAGTTCACCCAGCGGATCTGATTTGCCTACATTAATTCATGTCGAAATGGCATTGTATGAGAATGGGGGTGGTTGTGGAGAGATCCTTAAAACAGTTCTAAACAGGTTGTTGGCTATACCGCCAACGAGTGTTGAGTCGGAAAGGGCGTTTTCTACTGCTGGGATATTTTGCAACAAGATGAGATCACGTCTAAACGACGACACCCTTGACGGCTTTATGTTTCTAAGATCTCGATTATTAAAGAATACCGCCTAGAATATACTTATCTAATGTTCATTATATTTACGATATGAGTCACGTTACGTTTTATTTTAATTAAAAAAGATTTATTTTTTTGTGAAGATAATTATTAGTTTAAAGAAGGAAAGTTAATAACTTATGTTTTGTTTTAATTGTTTTTATTTTATTATCTCGATTTCATATGGAGCCGAGTGTTGATTGTGAATTTTAAAAACGTAGGTACTTAGTTGTAAGTTTCCTGTTCAAAGTTTTAATTTAAATATTGACTGATTAATTTAATTGGACTGACTGATTATAATAAGACAAATAAAACACGAATTAAAAGTAATAACTTTTGCAATTTTATTTATTTTCTTCGTTGCAAAGTAATAAAAGAGAACGCTTTTCTTCAAATACTTACATCTTTTTGACAAAAAACTACGTTTTATTTAAATTAAATTGATAGTTTAAATTTTTTTACCAAAATTCGAAAAATCCGGATAATCCGGATTTGTACGTTACACAAATCCGGAAATCCGGATTTAAGAAAAATCCGGATTTTGCAATCTCTAGTTNAGTCACTGTCCGCCATTCTGCCGTTACGCCTGACTCGATGCGCAACGATTGAAAGTTTGTAATCATATTTAATAAATACTTACTGCATAAAAGTGGTTTACTCTGGTCCTGCAAGATTAAGTTTTCAATCAGAAGTGGGATGTTTTCCATCGAAGCCTGAAAAAGTTGATTCCTGACGGAGAAAACCGTGAGTCATTTTTTTTACATTATTTGCTAAACGGTTGGTGTTTTACGAAGTCTGGGTTGCAGTGTTGTAATATGTGTGAACAATTAAGACAAAATACGCGTGTACAGTGATATTTATAACCTTATAGTGACGTAATTAGTGACCTCTGAATTTCTATGATAGTGAAAGTGAAACTACCGTATAATTAGTAATCGTCAATAATTAAAACTATATTGTATATTTCAACAAAACAACAATAGTAAAGGGATTTTTTTTGTGATTTGAAAAAAAAATAAAAAGAATGCTGGGTTGCGGAAACTGTTATATTATGGATATTATATTATGAGTAATGGTGTTATTTTTTTTTTGTGTATGTGTGACTTTATACGATGTTGTTATTAATTTACTTATTGATGATAAATCCACAATGATTGTAATACGTAGGTAATAGTCAGTGTTACATTATTGTAGTTGTCTGTGTCAATCAGTTATACTTAATGCATTTTAATTAAACCGGATTCGAATCATTAAACTATGGGGTCAGATAGACGTTCTCGATCGCGTAAGCGTCATCTATCGAAACATCGTCACCGTCGTGAATCCTCTAGTATGGATACTTCTTCATCAGTGTCCAGCAGTGAACGGTATACTAAGCGAAGTAAAAAGTCTAAAAAACGATCTGATAGTTACAATAAAAAACGGACTCATAAACATTCAAAGAAAAATAGAAAAACCAAGTCACATAGGTCTATTCGCAGTTCAAGTAGATCACAAGTTCGAACTCCTCCTTTAACTGAAAAAACCACTCAGCCAAATATTATACACAATCCTGGACCATCAATTAATTTAGAATCAAATAGTGCTTCCTCAAGTAACATTAATAACTTTTCAATTCCGGTGCAATCTTTCACCCACATAAATGCTATTCCCGAGTTTGATCCTAGTGATGGATCTCAAAATATTGAATCTTGGATCCATAAAGTCAACGAATGTGCGACTATATATTCTTGGAATGAAACTCAGATTTGTCACTACGCTTTAGCTAAGTTAACGGGACTTGCTAAGCGATGGTATCAGGGACTGCCTTCCCTACTTTTTAGTTGGGAACAGTGGATGGAAAAACTTAAGGCTGCGTTTCCTTCCACTGAGAACTATGGTGATCTTCTCCAACGGATGCTGCAAATTCGCTGCAAAATTGGGCAACCTTTGGATGTCTATTATTATGAAAAAATGATTTTGATTAACAAATGTGAGATTGTTGGACGTAAAGCGGTAGGGTGTCTAGTGCACGGTATCGATGACAAATTTATAAGGATGAGTGCTAATTCATGTCGATTTGAGGACCCAGAACAGTTATTTTCATATTTGAAAACGCTAGTACAAAGTGACGGGTATGCGATGCAAAGGCGAAGGGTATCGTGGAACAAGGATCATGGATCGCAACATTCACAGTCGAACTCTGTGTCTGATAGCATGGAAATTTCTAAACCTGGTATAATTTGCTTTAACTGTGGGGAAGCTGGCCATATTCGAACAAAATGTACAAAACCAATGAAAAAGTGTAACATCTGCCGGAGAGTAGGTCATGTAACAAAAGAATGCCGGAGTAATAAAAATCAAAGTTTTCCAAATCCTTCTGATGGTAGCAATGATACTAATAGTTCCTCACAGAACATGACTTCTCCTCACGATAAAAATGTAATGCGAATTAGTGCAAACGGAGCAGACAGTGAAAAGTATTTCAAAGATATTCAGGTAGATGGTTTTGAAAGACAGGCTTTTATAGATTTAGGGAGTAATTGCACTCTAATAAAGGAAAGTTTGGCCAAAGAAATCTACGGGGACTATCAAATTGACTTAAAAATCCCGAATCTTAGAGGGTTTGGCAATGTGTGTGTCACGCCGATAGGTTCTATTAAGGGTACCGTTGTAGTTGATGATATTTGCGCGGAAATTGATTTGGTGATAGTCGCAGACCGTTATATGCCTTGTGACATAATCATTGGTCAAACATTTACTGAGCTTCCTAACTTGGTTATGTATAAAACATCAGATAACCTAATATTTTATAAAGCGGCTGACACTAGTTGTTCGGAAATTTCTTTGAAGGTGAAACTTATTTCATTAGACAAAACGGTCATTCAACCACGTACAACCTCCCCTGTTGAAGTCGAAACATCGACAGAATATTCAGGTTCCCTTTTTATTCCAACGACTTACTGTTGTAGTGACACAAGAAAATTAGTGATTTTGCCTGGTTTATATACATTTCAGAATAATAAAGGTTATGTGATGATTTCCAATCTCAATAAAGATATTTTAGAGATTTCAAAAGGTCAGACTTTGGCTAGGGGCGTAGGGTATGAGGAGGTTACGGAACCTTATATCGCGATAACAACTAGTACATCCCAGGAAGCAGATAGTTTACCTTTGGGAGATATTCAGGTCGGTGTCAAATTATCAGATGAAGAGGAAACTAAATTCAATGACTTATTGGAGAAATATAGAGATTGCTTTGCAATTAACTTGTCAGAATTAGGTAAGACTGATTTAACGGAGATGGTTATTAAACTTAAAGATGATATTCCGGTTGTATATAACCCCTATCGTATGTCTATGAAAGAAAAAGAGCAGTTGTCTGAAATCATAGGTGATCTTCTTCAGAACGGTATTATACGCGAAAGTTCCTCCTCATATGCAAGTCCAGTTCTGCTTGTTAACAAGAAGAATGGACAAAAACGTTTATGCATTGATTATCGTGCATTGAACCGAAAGACCCTTAAAGACAAGTACCCGTTACCTAGAATTGAGGATAGGTTAGACAGTCTAGGTGGGAATAGTTTCTTTACAAGCCTTGACCTCGCTTCAGGTTATTATCAGGTACCTGTAGCAGAGGACAGTAAACATCTTACGGCGTTTATTACTCCGGACGGTTTATATGAATACAACCGTATGCCGTTCGGGTTAGCCAATGCGCCTGGCGTCTTTCAAAGGGCAATCAATTCAATGCTCAATTGTGCAGAACCAAATTTAGCATTGGCCTATATGGACGACTTATTGATTCCATCGAGCACAATACAGGAAGGACTAGGCAAACTCGAAAAGGTATTTCAATTGCTGAGGAAAGCGAAGTTAACTTTAAACCCAAAGAAGTGTGTTTTCTTTCAAAAAAATATCGAATATTTAGGATATGAAATTTCAGAAAATGGCATCCGTCCGGGAAAACTAAAAATTGAGGCAGTTAAGTCATTTCGTGTACCTAAAAATGTCCACGAAGTTCGCCAGTTTGTAGGACTGGCGAGCTATTTTCGGCGATTTGTTAGAAATTTTTCAGCAATAGCGCGACCGCTTACTGTTCTAACAAAAAAGGACCAGCCGTGGCACTTTGGACAAGAACAAATGAATGCTTTTGAAACTTTAAAAGAGAGCTTAATTAGCCGACCAATCCTCGCTTTATACGATCCTAAAGCATCACTTGAAGTTCATACGGATGCCAGCAAGTTGGGAATTGGGGCAATTCTATTACAAAATGGCGACAAGGGCCTCCAACCCATTGCCTATTACAGTCGACAAACTTCACCCGAGGAGCAAAAATTTCACTCCTATGAGTTGGAGACTCTTGCCGCTATCACAGCTCTGAACAGGTTTAGGGTATATTTACTCGGCACACCGTTTAAACTAGTGACGGATTGCAATGCGATCAAAAGCACCATGACTAAGAGAGATTTGATACCTCGTGTCGCGAGATGGTGGATTGCAATGCAAGAATTTGACTTTACCATAGAGTATCGTGCAGGAGTTAAAATGACACACGTGGATGCCTTAAGCAGAAATCCTGTTGCTGCGGAAAATCCTCCATCTCGTGACGACGATGATTATGTTTTTGGCATACAATGGGACGTTTGTAAAATTGATGTAACTGACGAAAGATGGCTTCAGACTGTACAACAGGCCGATAGCGAATTACAAAGAATTTCAGAAATTTTAAAAGACCCGGAAAGTGCAAATGTAGTAGAAATTAAAAATAATTTTACGATTAAAAATAATAAACTTTATCGTGTGGTAAGGAAAAATGATACTGTCAAGTTGTTGTGGGTTGTTCCTAAGTCAGTGAGATGGCAGATTGTTAAAAGCAATCATGATGACGTCGGTCATTTCAGTTACGATAAAACTTATGAAAGAGTTCGCAGGGTATTTTGGTTCAAAAATATGCGCCGATTTATTAAAAAATATTGCAAATCTTGCTTAAACTGTGCACACAACAAACTCCCGGGAGGACCAAAGGAAGGGATGCTTCATCCAATTCCTAAGCCTGACAAACCTTTTGAAATGTTGCACGCTGACCACTGTGGGCCGTTTCCTCAAAGCAAAAAGAGGAATTGTTATATTCTCGCCATAATTGATTCTTTTACAAAATTCATTTACATCAAACCAGTCAAAAATTGCAAAAGTAAAACTACAATTAACGTTTTTGAGGAATACTTTTCTCTGTTTGGAGTACCGTGCAAATTAGTAACAGATAAGGGAACTAGTTTTACTAGCCGAGAATTTAACAATTTCATTAAAGAGAAAGGAGTGAAACATATTATAAATGCTGTTGCAACACCCCGAGCCAACGGTCAAATAGAGCGTTACAATCGGTCAATTGTCGACGCGCTTACAGCAATAAATCATGAGCGACCTGATGATGAATGGGACCTCATGATACCGCGCGTTCAATGGGGTCTTAACAACACGGTAAACAAAGCTACCGGGAAGAGCCCAGCAGAAATCTTATTTGGCGTCGCACCTACTGGAGTTTCGGATGGTACGATGAACTCTGTTGTGTCGGAAGGTAATAGCATTGAAAATCGCGATGAAATAAGAGTTGAGGTTAAGGATCGTAATGAAAGTCAGCAAATGAAACAGAAATCTAATTTTGATAAACGACGAAAACTAGCTCATACTTACAAAATAGGAGATCTTGTTAGGGTCGAACGTGAAATAGGATCTTCTGTGCCGGGACAATCTAAAAAGTTGGTTCCTAAATGTAGTGGGCCTTACAGAATTGTTAGGATCTTAGGTAACGATAGATATGAGATCGAAGATACCCCCATAACCAAAAAGACAGGCAAACCTTTGTACAAAGCTATATTTGCGGTTGATAAAATTCACCCCTGGTTAGTGTTTTCAAATGACCCTATAGATAGTGATTCGAATAATAGTGGTACCGATTAAATAAAAATTATGTACATACAATGTAAAAAAAAAAAAGCTTGTAATAACACACAGCTATAATAAAATTATTTAATATATTTAATAATAAATCAGCCCTGTGTGGCGATACCAGCCCTGTGTGGCGATATCAGCCCTGTGTGGCGATACCAGCCCTGTGTGGCGATACCAGCCCTGTGTGGCGATACCAGCCCTGTGTGGCGATACCAGCCCTCTGTGGCGATACCAGCCCTCTGTGGCGATACCAGCCCTCTGTGGCGATACCAGCCCTCTGTGGCGATACCAGCCCTCTGTGGCGATACCAGCCCTGTGTGGCGATACCAGCCCTCTGTGGCGATACCAGCCCTCTGTGGCGATACTAGCCCCGTGGCGATACCAGCCCCGTGTGGCGATACCAGCCTTGGGTGGCGATACCAGTCCATTGTGGCGTTGTTCATAACCTTGTGTGGTGCTGTTAGTAGCCCTCTGAGGTGTTAGCGTTTGTGTACCAAACCCATGTTTGCATTGCGTAATTAATTGCTGGCCTTTATTAGCGTTGTTAGTCTGCATTATACCTACCTATCTTAAGTTTAAAGTGATCAATTGATTAAATTAAAAATTGACATAAATATTAAAAATTGTGTAAGTATAGTAAATAGCAGTTAATGAAGTAATCAGTGTGCACAAGTTCGTGCTATTTTTTTTTTATTGTATTTATTTTTATTTTTGGTTAGATTATCGTTTGGATTTTTTTAAAGTTTAAGAGTATTTATGTACTTTTTGATGTTTTATTTTTAATTTATTATTATGTTAATGTATACTTAATACATCTAAACACGCAAGGATGCGTGCATTGTCAGAAAGGCCGAATGAAAGCAAATGACATACTATTACTGTTATATTATTTATAATATTAATTTAAAATTATATAAATGTAGATTTAGTTAAATAATTCACGTTGTTAAATTTATAAGTTGTTGTATTGACGGACGGCGTAGTCACCGTCCGCCATTTCTGCCGTTACGCCTGACTCGATGCGCATCGATTGAAAGTTTGTAATCATATTTAATAAATACTTACTGCATAAAAGTGGTTTACTCTGGTCCTGCAAGATTAAGTTTTAAAAGCATAGTAATAATTGTCCAGTCAGTTCTCGTTCAAATAACTTTTTAAGTATTTAAAAACAGGGCAATAATATATAAGTATTAATTAACATTACGTAGTAACCCTGTTTAATCTAGATCATTCAGTTCTTGAATTTAATCTCGTCAAATAACATATATCAATAACCTATAAGTATTAATTAACATTACATAGCAACCCTGTATAATCTAGATCATTCAGTTCCTGAATTTAATCTCGCTAAATATCACATATCAATAACCTATAAGTATTAATCATCATTAGATAGTAACCCTGTATAATTTAAATAGTTAAAGTGTTCTATTTAATCTCGTTAAATAACTATTGACGCAAATCGCATTGTTATTTACTCGTAACTCGCAACTTAAACTCACATAAATAATAAACCGGTTTGTTACGCGCCAATAGTACTACCAGTTTCTCGATAACTTTTAAATAGTAAACAAACATTGTAAGAATGATTCACAGAGCGAACTCATTTGCATATTATCAGCGGAACGCATTTTTTCAATTCGCCACAGGCGATCAACAGCACTCGCTTACTAGATGAATCATAACTCGATTTTACCTGCCTAATGTTTGCGCGCCGTGCCAGGCTGCATTCCATTTGCGTTAAGATTTATAATATTATTGTAATTAAAACTTAACCCATTAACTGCCATTGTCTTGTATAACTTTTAATTATCCTGTTTTCGCCTCCGAGATTTATTTTACCGTGTAGTACCCCTGTACGACAAACCAATCCGCATTCCGCACACAATATTCAGCGTAGTAATAGTAAAAAACNCGTGAGAATGGCCGAACTATATCGATAACCGCGCACCGATTGCAATTTGATAGATTGACTTGGCTCATGAATATCAGACAAGGACGCATACATAAGCAACGGTCGATACGTGTTGTAGGCATAATATCAAATTCGTTAAATCACAGTCTGGCCTTATATTATAATCCATTTTAATTTCATAATTTTACTAATCAGTTGAGCTACTCCGAATGTACATACTTTCGACTCTACCTATCTGTCACTGGACCGCAAAGAAAAAGGGTCGGTTAGACAATCTTCTTCCTAGCTTTGTAAAACAAAATATACTTACTGGAAAAACTACGCATTTTTATTTATTAAAAACTAAAAGCTTGAATTAATTTAGTCTTTTTTCATAAAGTTCAGGTATTTTTAAAAATACGTAATGAAGATTTTCTAACCGGCCCTTTTTCTTTGCGGTTCAGTATATTCAAAACTTCGGATAACATTGAAGCCCCGCAGATGATTAACGAATTTAATCAAATTGCGACTTTCATTAAAAGCTGGCTTGAAATACGCAATTTAATGTTATCGCCGTCAACCGATAGAAATTGATTTCAGCAAAAAAATTTCACGCCATTGTATAAAGTAATCCCATTTAGTAATTAATTAAAAGCGATTTATATAATGACATAATTAGTATTTTGGTAGCAATAATAATGATATTTAAATGGTCTCTATTCCATCAGACTGTCAATGATATACCTAAAGTCTTTTGCATAAATAGTATTTTGCATATTAATTAAAAGTGTTTTGCGAAGTGGGTTTATAAAATTAGCGTGTCTAGGTCATTTAGGGCATGAAGTTCACATTGCAATTTTTTCTTAAAATTAAATATCTATAGAACTTTAAATAAGTACGCATACACTTTATAGCTGTAGGGCTATTTAAAAGCAGTTTAGAGATTTTAGACCATCGGGAAGTACTGAAATGGAATGGTAGAACCAACTCACGGTAATAAATAAATCCATATTTTTTATGTCATTATGTTCACATAAGTTTCACACTCATTGGTTAACACAATTTCAAGAGGCATTTTGGCATTAACACCACATTATTGCGACTTTAGTTCGTCAATAAAAATAAACGTTATAAAACTCTACATTAAAATTTATCACATTTTCACTTTTGTAGCACACTATCACAGAATCAAATACACTGTTTTACAACGTGATGTTTGGTCGTCAGAATGTTATCATAATACATTAATGGTTACGTTTATTGCTGATAAGATTTTTTAAATCATAATTACACGCGCAATGTTAAATCGGAAGGCAGTTTCGTTTACAATGACCGGCGACACGACTTTACTTCGTTAACAATCGCAGATTGCGTGATATTTCATACTGTTGGAAGTCAATGGTATAGCCCATGAGATATCAAACAGATCACACCAATATATTAGAAAAAACTAAGAAAGTAAGAGAAAATGTTTTGGAAACCTCAGTTAGGTTTTTCAATGAAAATTTCATAAGAATTTGTAAGTCAGCTTAGGAAAGGTAATATACTAATCTACTCTAAATATTGTGAGGAATACAGAGTATTCTTTAATCTTCCTATTTTTTTACAAATCTGAAAAACGTTTATCCGCAATCGATCACCTTTACATAAAAAAAATGCTATAATACACATACCGATGCCACATTGTTCAATGGATTTGTCTGTTATTCTGTATTATAATAACATTACAATAATTAAACAAAATAAAGTGTAGTAAATATATATTTTTTTACTTAACTCTACATAAACTGTTGCCAGTATGTTATTGTTGAACTAGGCCAACGTCTCGGTCGCGATACTCGCGATATCAATGGTCAGGTTGACCTATAAATATAAATCGAATACACAACATTACTCCAATTATGGAGTCCCGACATAACCTTAGACTTCACCTTGTCCCACCTACAATGTCATGAACAATGTTGTTTCTACTCGTTGCACATTGTATCGATAACTCGGAAGTAGATTTGTCATTTGATGTGTATTATGTGGTATTATATCAATATTGTCACGATGTGCTACAAAATCCGATGCATTATTATGGATTAACAAGTCATGGGCCCCAATATATTTTTACTGACATTAACCCCCCTGCTATATTAGATAAGATAAAGGTACTATATGGTATCTTTTGAATTAGATTTCAGCGGTCATCACTCAGAGCGAGCAGAATTCAAAATGGTAGAGTTATACTAGAATTCTCATTTCATTTATTAATCTAGTCTAGTCGGATAGCCACGCTAGCAATTACATAATTTTGTCTTTCTTGATTATTTATAAAAATATAGGTTACTAAAATGTCCCCCGCAGTGCAATAAATGAAATTCGTTTTGTCTCTCTGTTATTATAACCAGCTAAACAAAGTATTATCAAGCATTAAAAATTGAAGGTTTGCAAATAGATCGGTTCATTTTCATTCATATAATAAGCAGAACTAACTAATTTGTGAGAAGTGTCTGGCATGAAACGAAACAGTGTTCTGACTCAACAGATGGAGATGGGGCTTAAGACGAACACGATAATATTATTTTGTTTGTTGTTGAATATATTCAAATATTACACGTATCAATAAGGCCACTTTTGCATAGATTTCAACTGAGCTTTAAATGGCTTTAAAGAACAATATGTATTGTTAGTAAACATTTTACAAACACCCTTGTAATGAGAACGGGGTTAAAATGTTGTACTTAGTTACAAACAACTACTCACACTATTTTAAAGTTTAACGGACGCCTCGACGGCATATTAATTTAAACTAGCTGTGCCCGCGACTTCGTCCGCGTGGAATAATGACTTTGGGTAGGCAATTTTATTAATTTAGTCTAATTATTTTACAAATAGCTTTTGCCCGCGACTTCGTCCGTGGAGAAGTCGAAAACGTTCTCATACGATTATTTTTAAATGTTTTAACGTTATTATCTAAATGTTTGAATACTTTTAAAATATAAAAATCAGGTTAAATAAACATGAAAATATTTTTTTCTTATATTTTATGAATATGCAGCTCGGCCTTTGATCCGGTGAACGAAATCGAAAACTACACCTACCGCAGTATTATTGGTAAACTTTTTTTTATATTTTCCTACGGGTGCTACAATCACCAAGCTTCCAGCATGCCACTGGCCGTGGGAGAAGGAGCTTTTCCTCAAGACTACTCCCACTACCTCAAGGGCCTCCGCCAAAACTCTCGCGCGAAAATGAGTTTATGTATACAGCGCAAGCAGGTGCCCGCGGCATGACTTTCATGCATTACTATGCATTGTTGGGCGAGCGCACGCAGCGGGCACCCACTCCGAGGTTAAGTGGAGGCCCCTAGAGTATGGTAGTCGTTAACATGACGTCATGATTGTAAAAAAATGCACTAATGAGTAATTAATATCAACTTTGAAGCAAATCACCACTAAAATAACTTTCTACCCCTTTTTAACATAGTTAGGGGGTGCATTTCACTAAAATACGAAACACGTCTTCCATTAATTCTGTTATAGAATGCTTATGCAAAATTTTAAGTAGATTGGACGAAGGAATCTCGTTATTTCATACAAACTTTGCCCCTCCTTTTTACCTCCTTAGGGGTAGAATTTTGGAAAATCCTTTCTTATCAGATGCTTACGTCATACAAAGAACATTTTTTTTGCATAAAAATGGTTACTATGAGCCAACCTTAAAAGATAGACATATGCTACCGCGGACTTTTTTAAAGAACTTTTAAAGGGGAACAATCCTGTCATACATGATTTTTGCGAAACTTTAACCGTTTACGCAGCGTCAGCTCTCAAAAGGAAAAAATTCACCGATTTGAAATATTATTGATTGGTGCTCCGCTCCTATTAGTCTTAGCGTGATAATAAATAGCCTAAAGCCTTCAGGAACTAACGGGCTATCCAACACAAAAAGAATTTTTCAAATCGGTCCAGTAGTTCCTGAGATTAGCGCGTTCAACCAAACAAACAAACAAACAAACAAACAAACAAACAAACAAACAAACTCTTCAGCTTTATAATATTATATATAGTATAGATTAGCATTAAAGTAGCAAATGTTTAGCGGTGCTATTTGCAACAGATGTGTATATATGTTACGGTCAAAGTGATAAATGTGAAAATTATGAATAATCGCCGGTTATTATGAATAATTACCGCATGATTTGGTAAATGTGATTAATAGGGGGTCATTTATGTGTGTATAAAACAAAAGGGGCGGCTGAGGGGGGCCCAAGGGCCCCCCCCGCCGCACCTTAACCTATTTTTCACTTTAAATCAAAACATTATGTTATAGACATCATGGAAAAGTAATATTATGCAAAAAACATTCCAAACTTATTATGCCAAATTATATTAATATATGATATCAAAACGTTCAAAAGTTTGGCTGTACAGGAGCATGTACACAAAATGTTGTTCTCTTTTATGAAATTTGTTAGTACTAAGGTTGAATTATTAAATAATCACTGTTAAATGTGATTAATTTATCACTTTTACCGCGACTGTCGGTAATTATTCATAATAACCGGTTATTATTAATAATTTTCAATTTATCACATTAACCGTAACATATACACATAATAACTATTCTGACGAGCTACCGACTGCATGTAAAAACACACCTACATAAATTAACTGATACAATTTAATATACTTTTAGCTGATGATGTAGCGCATTTATTAGCGATAAGTGTTTAGTTTATGGTGTGCGAGTGTTAATTTGCATTGAACTGATACTAACTGAAACTGTAGCAGCGTGTGAAATGCCTGTAAATACGTCTGACGTAACTAAACAAATAGCTTTCACGCGATAAGCTCGGCCAAACCAACGCGTGCAGCTCTCGATGGCGATGGCGATCACTGCGCGGGCATAGATCGCCGCGACCAATGACAGCACGCGTTGGTGTGAACAGACACTCATCGCTACAAATTATTCACGACACGACATCGATCGCCAACGCGCGCGCACGCTGCACGCGTTGGTTTGGCCGAACCTTTAAGTACAGTGTTTATGGATCGGTTCATACTCGTAGCATACCATGTGAAATAATTGGCTCCATAGTTTTCTTTCTACCTAAAATGAAGGCAGTATAGCAGAGCATAGCAACTGAATTCATAATAAAATCACATTCAGACAGTGTCATCTTACTTTAACTTTGAAAAATGCCAAAAATCTGTCCAACTCCATACAAAAAGCACCGGATATTATTACTGTTGCGGTAAATAAGGTGGTGCAACTCAGCCTTATAAAAAGCACTTAATTTATTTATTTAAAGGCTCAACTATCATAACTACCCTACCTACCTACATGTACGAGGGGCGGCTGAAAAGTTTTGAGCCTAAGTATCTTCAAGTGTTATTATTGATTCGCACTAAATTTCATTAATTTGCCAATAACCTCCTTAGTATATGTACAAAGTTTCATTTCATTAGCGTCATCACGTTTTTAGTAATTAATCCGTAAACATCATCATGTCTCAGTCATCCGCGCAATATTGTATGAAATTGAAGTACACAGTTGTCATAAAATGCCTCACAAAGAAGAAAAAAACGCTGACGGTAATATTTGGAGAGATGTCGACAGTTTATGGGGAGTCTGGGCCTTCATTTGCCACCATGAAAGATTGGATCCGATAATTCAAGCATGGCAGGGAATCGCTAAAAGATGACCGCAAGTCAGGGCGGCCAGATTTCGCCATTAACGAATAAAATCATTATTTTATTCGTTAGATCTCTAGAGCAAGATTCCTTAACTTTTAATGAAAAGTTAAGGAATCTTGCTCTAGAGATCCGCAAATTAAGCCGTGACAGATAGCTGAAGCCATAGGCATTAGCAAGGAACGTATCGGCGATATTTTTCATACTCATTTGCACATGAAAAAAGAGTGTGCGCGATGGGTGTCAAAAATGCTCACGCCACTCGACAAACAGCATCGAGTCACAACTTCGCAGGAGTTTTAGGACATCTTTGGCCATAATTCTAGCAAATTTATTTCTCACATTGTCACTATTGATAAATAATAAATCCGGCAGTACGATTCAGAGTCAAAACAAGAGTCAATGCAATGGATTGAAAAGGGAAAACGCCGCCGCGGAAATTCAAAGCGGAGCGATCGACACCCAAGCTCATAACCACTATTTTTGGGATTGTGGAGGAATTTTATTCATTGACTACCTACTTAAAAAAAACTACAATAAACGGGGATTATTTTGCTGTACTGTTGATAAGAGTGCGTCAAGTGATTGTCGAAATAATAAGAGGCAAACTGGCGAAAGGAAATCTGTTATTGCCAGACAATTC